ATATAATGTAGTAATGCCGATTAATTTTCCTTACCAGGTAAGTCAATCAATTTTTTAATTCCTAAACCGTTTACAACTGAGTACACACAATTAGGAAAACATATAAATTTTGTATTTATTAGATGAAGGGAAAAATTCACCCAGTGTAACCCGCGTTTCATTGTTTGATTTAGAAATTGACGATGAATCTTTATATTTATATAAATAATTGAAGCTACGAAACATTTGTTGATCGACCTCTACCTTTGTAGAAAGTTTATTCGAGAGATAATAATTTATTATTAACTCTTGGGACCTTTTAAACTAAGGCCCGTATTTATAAACTGATTTTAGCTGAGTCGTCCTAGAATGAAAATCGAGGTTCGGTTATAACTTCTATGGAGTTCCAGGTGGTTCCAGTGTAGCACTGAAATTTAGAGATGGACAAAATTAAATCGATGTTTGTTCCATGTGGACTCAGCCAAGTCGGACTCACCGTTCACTGTTTATAAATACGGGCCTATAAATCTCGAGACCGTAACTGTAGTCGCGTCAAAGTAGGACTAAAAACGCAGAAACTTCGAACTTTGGTCGAAAAGGTCCGATTGGGCTATTTTTTTCTGCAAAACAACAGGGGTGTCCGAAAGGGGCGCCGGGGCCCAAAATATGAGATTTGATTTGATATTAACATGTAAAATTGATATAATTCCGCCAGCGAGTATATTCCTTGGCCTTTTTGAGTCTCTGACGAACCCAGGTATGAGCGATAGGAGTTCCAAGGGGCCCCAAATTTAAATTCTCGTAAAATTCCATTTTCTCATACGAAGTTGGTATGATGAGGGTTTGTAAGAGTGTAATTTTATGTTGCCCTGGCTTGCAAGCAGGCGGCTCCAGAGCTCCACGAACGAGGGTGCTGAGGGGGTGAAACTATAAAGTTTCCACTGGGACTCGATTTGATTCGATTTCATTATATAAAATTCATATAATTGCGCTGACCAGGCAGCTAAGCAATGGTTTATTCGAGTGGCATTTAATCTCAGCCAATGCAACGACATGCCCAGATCAACAAGGACATTATCTCGATGTTTAGGGTTGGGGCACTTGGCCATCACATCACACGAAATTTTGAAGGTTCTCAATTGCAATTCTTTATCAGAGTTATACACTCTTGAACCTCCCGGAAAACGGCTTGCTGGGAATCTAAGTCTACAATTCATCTGATATTTTGTGAAGATAGTAACTGGTATACTCTAAAGATAAAATTAGAACAAGACTTAGAAAAAATAAAGATGTGGTTTGATCATAGGCTCTTGTCATTAAACTTTAAGAAAACAAATTACATACCATTTAGTTCTTATAGTAACGCTCTTCAGGATTATAATCTTATTGTTGGAAATACGTTTAGCATTACCCCTGTAAGAAAAATAAAATACTTTGGAATTATAATAGACCATAACTTAAGGTGGGATCAACACATAGAATTAAAAAAACTGCGTTGTGTATTATATAAATTTAAACAAATATGTTGTATTCTTAATTTTAAACAAAAAATAATATTATACAAGAGTTTAGTTGAATCACATCTTAATTATGGGATAATAGAATGGGGTGGCGTATCCAAAACTTACCTTTCATCACTTGAAATATTCCAAAAACGATTTATTCGAATCATTTTGCAGAGGGGTTATGATTGTCCAACCAATATGTTATATAGTGAGAGTCGTATATTTGATCCTGGGCAGCTATATTTTATAAAGGTAGGTATTACCCAGTATAACCACAAGATGGAACTTAAAACTTCAAGTCACGAATATGCCACCCGTAACAAACTAACGTACGTTTCTTCTTATATGAAGAAAGCTATTGGACAAAAATCTTATTCCTTTTTAGGTCCTAAAATTTTTATTTCATTACCCTGTTTTGTTGAAATGTCAAATTTTTCTATCACACCAGGCTACATTAAATATTTATGAAAAAATCTAATTCTATAAAACGTTGAAGTACTTCTTTTTCAATTCCATATCCACCGCAACCGTTTTACCAGCCTCAAAAGGTTAGCTCCCCGGCCAGGTGAGATATCAATTTTATGTAATGAAATTAAATCGAATCGTCCCAGGTGAACATGATAGTTTCGGCCCCTCAGGACGCTTGTTCGTGCAGCCCTGGGGCTACATGCTTGCAACATAAAATTACACCCTTAAAAACCCTCATTATGCCGTCATCAACTTTATATGAGAAAATTGAATTTTACGAGAATTTAAATTTGGGCCCCCCTATCAGCCATATCTAGGTTCGTCAGAGACTCAAAAAGACCAAGAAGTATACTCGGTAGAGAAATTATATCAATTTTACATTTTGATATCAAATAAAATCAAATCTCATATTTTGGGCCCAGCACCCTGTTCGAACACCCCTGGTTGGGTCACAGGATGACAAGCTGCCCAAATTTAGATTTGTTTTATAACATTAGCGCGTACCAATTCTGTGTCCTGAAATTCAATCCCGCGTGATCATGATATTTGAGACCCCATGGGCCCCTTTTTATACGACCCTGAGGGCTTGAAAAGGCTTAATTCTCGATGACATGGAGATCTCCGCCATTCTAAACTCCCCTAGCACAATTTGGGAGCCCAAATACATTTCCACGGACATCTAGTATATTGGACCAACAGTGGCCCTGTCACCCACCCCTGGGAAGGTCGCAAAGACGACCTGACCCAAAAAATGGATTCAGGGTACTTTAAAATCCCCGAGTGGAATATTTACCCCGTTTGGAACTGCAGTTTTATAAAGTAATAATAATAATATAATAATAATTTATTCACATAAAAACAATAAATACATACTTATAAAACTTGTGATACAAAAGAAAATTAATGGTACCTATGTGAATAAAAGAAAACTTACGAGACATAAAATGTCTGTGTGTAAGCATGCTTTTGCATAAAAAATAAAATAAACAGACATATATAGATTAATGATTAAAAACATATTAAAACTAAAACTAAAAACTAAAATTAAAATCAAATTAAAAACAATTTAAAAATTAATTAAAACAAATCAAAAACAATTGTAAGAAATATACTATTTGTTGGATGATTTCTTTAATTTTTTTTTTGCGTTTTTTTTATACGTTTAGATTGTTGCTTTTTTTATTTTTTGTGTTTTTGTTTTTTTCCTATTTTATTCCTAATCTAACAATTTTTTTATTTCTTGTCGCGGTAGTTGCATCAGAACTTGTTGAATTTTTTTTTTCAAGTTTTTTGTATTTACATTATCTGTATTTTTTAGAAACAAATTTAAAACTTTAGGACCCAGATAATTAAAACTTCTTTGTCCTATAGACTTGAACATGAAAGGCAAGATAATGTCCTCCCTTTGTCTTGTGCCATACTTATGTGTTCCAGTTTTGAGGGAATGTTTCGTCATAAACTGAGTATTGCATGCTTGAAGAAAGAATAGCTGACGACAGTCTAATATATTTGTATCTTTATATAGTTGATCACTTGCCCACAAAGCCTCTCTATTTAAAAATACGTAAAAATCTTCTTTGAAGAATTTCCAAAGAATTTAGGTGAGTTCTAGTAACACCGCCCCATCCTAAAATACCATATCTAATATGCGGTTCAACTATACTTTGGTATACTATAATTTTTTGTTTAATATCCAGTATCTCTGAGATCTGTTTGTACCTATATAGAATTGATCTAAGTTTCTTTTCTAAAAAATCAATATGTACGTTCCATTTTAGCATACTATCAATGAAAATACCTAGATATTTTATGTGGTTTGCAGGTTGAATTTGAATTGTGTTTTGGACTGTTAACTTAAAATTTGGAAGAGATGAGTCTAGAGAACTAAAAGGTACATTGAAATTCATTGAAAGTAGTCTGTAATCGAACCAATTTTTAATTTCGGATAAATGGACCTCAGCCTTTTGTTTTAGTTCAAACCAATTTTCAGCTGTATAAAATATTACCGTGTCGTCTGCAAAGCTAATTATTTTGTTGTCTTCTTCTAATAAAAACAAATTGTTTAGGTAAATTATAAATAACACTGGACCCAACACTGTTCCCTGAGGGACACCACACATGATAGTTTGTTCACTACTTAGATCCTGCTTGATTTTTACTTTTTGTTTTCTACCTGTTAAGTAGCTTGCAAACAAATCATTAGCAGTACCTCTCACTCCTATGTCTTCTAAATATGATTGAAGCAGGCTATGGTCTACAGTGTCAAAAGCCTTTGCTAAATCAATAAATACTCCAATTGATGGTTTGTTTTTGTCTAATGTTTCATAGATATTTTTTGTTAAGCACTTAATTGCATCCTGGGTTGACATTTTTTGTCTGAAGCCAAATTGCGAGTTTGATAATATGTTGTTTTTCCAAAAAGTTTGTTAGCCTAATTTTTATTATTTTTTCAACAATTTTAGCAATATTTGATATGAGGGACACAGGTCTGTAATTGCCCATTTCAGACTTATCTCCATTTTTAAATATAGGTGTAACGATTGATAATTTAAGAGTATGCGCCTTTTGTTGAAAAAAACCGAGAATTCCCCTCAATTGGGGTGAATTTGGGTGGAGGGAGGCCGAGCGGCATCTAGATTTTAGTGAACTTTGAATCTCATGTCTCAATGAACATTTTGCAAAAAAAATTAGCCCGATTGGACCTTTCCGACCAAAGTTCGAAGTAAAAACCTACTTTGACGCGACTACTAAACATATTATTTTTTCTCCAAACGCCAATCAGTAACAAAAATTGATTATTAATTATTTCGAACGTCAACATGAAAAGGCCATACTAATTATACCTCCACTCTGGCTATCTTTTCTTTATTCTCATTAATTAGATATTTTGTGGAAAAATAAGACAGAAATACAAATTACTTCAAAATCAAGAATAGCTTGAGCGGCAGTGAAAGTTTTGTATTTTTTTGTTCATCTGCCGCCAGTAATAACAACCCTTGTTTTTAAAAAAGTGAATCTTTAAAATACGTAATAATACATTATTTTTAGTGCAGAGGCGAGCAGTATAGAAAAATATAAATTTCCAGATGAGTTTTTATTCGGAGTTGCTTCAAGTGCTTATCAAATAGAAGGAGGTTATAATGCAGATGGTAATACTTTTTTTTCTATAAATTTTTAGCTTAAATGAAATAGATTTAAAGATTTTCGATGTGCATGCATATATCAGAAGTTCTTTTAGAAAAACAGGAGGGAAATTGATTATTAAATTTAATTAAAGACATCAAAATTTTCTTAAAAAACTGTTATACGTCAAAAAGGTAATTATTTATATAAAGAAGATGCAGCAATGTAACAAATTTTTATTGAGGTAGGTAGAGTATTCTAATATTTAGGTATAGTAAACTAATTTACAATCAGTTTGTATATTATACTTCTGGTACGACTTTTATCTACTAATATCATCAGATTGCCTGCGGAACTGACTTTCTAACGGATCATATGAAAGACAGTGAGAAAATCGGTCCTTCCTTATGGTGTCATAGTGTCGGGGTATCAAGATATGTTATTTTCATATATTTTTATATTTTTTTTATGTATTTTTATATATTTTTATATTTTTTTATGTATTTTTATATATTTTTATATATTTTTATATATTTTTACAAATTTTTATATATTTTTATATATTTTTATATATTTTTATATATTTTTATATTTTTTTATGTATTTTTATATATTTTTATATATTTTTATATATTTTTATATATTTTTATATATTTTTACAAATTTTTATATATTTTTATATATTTTTATATATTTTTATATATTTTTATATATTTTTATATATTTTTATATATTTTTATATATTTTTATATATTTTTATATATTTTTATATATTTTTATATATTTTTATATATTTTTATATATTTTTATATATTTTTATATATTTTTATATATTTTTATATATTTTTATATATTTTTATATATTTTTATATATTTTTATATATTTTTATATATTTTTATATATTTTTATATATTTTTATATATTTTTATATATTTTTATATATTTTTATATATTTTTATATATTTTTATATATTTTTATATATTTTTATATATTTTTATATATTTTTATATATTTTTATATATTTTTATATATTTTTATATATTTTTATATATTTTTATATATTTTTATATATTTTTATATATTTTTATATATTTTTATATATTTTTATATATTTTTATATATTTTTATATATTTTTATATATTTTATATATTTTTTTATATTTTATATATTTTTATATATTTTTATATATTTTTATATATTTTTATATATTTTTATATATTTTTATATATTTTTATATATTTTTATATATTTTTATATATTTTTATATATTTTTATATATTTTTACATAGTTTTATATATTTTTATATATATTTTTTTATTTTTATTTATTTTAATTTATTTTTATTTCACTACAGTATTTCCCCTAAAAATGTGAAATTCCAAAACCTTGAAACAGGTCATTATACTCGTATACTTATGCGTAGTTACAATTCCAATGTAAAAGTTCCCTCCATTAAAAAACAGAAACTTTCTCACTTGATCTCCTCCTTAAAATGTTAAATTGAAATACATCATTATTTATTTATGATCAGTAGCTACAATTCCAATTTTCAAGTTCCTACCTTTAAAAAAATCGATACCCCTACAAATTTTCACTTCTAATTTCCCCCCTTAAAATGTATAAATCTAAAAACACTGGGATATATCCTTATTTATTTATGATGAGTAGTTACAATTCCCATAAAACGTTCACACCCCATTTCCCCCCAATAAAATGTAAAAATCCAAATATCCTAAAATACTTCATAATTTATTTATGATGAGTAGCTACAGTTCCCATTTTTAAAAAAACTTTTCTACCATATGAACGTTTGCCTCTATTTCCACCCCTCGAAATGTAAAAATCTAATACCCTGTATTACGTCATTATTTATTTATTATATAAAATATTCTATACTGCCATACAAACGTTCTCTCCCCGTTTCCCCCTCTAAAATGCGATGATTGTAGTGGGTTTCTACGCCGAGAAAGGAGTAACTATTTCCCAATTTCAAATCAATCGGGCTTATAGTTTTGAAGATCTCGTGATGAGTCAGTAAATGGTATTTCGCTTTTATATGAATGTAACAAAAATGTAGGTCATAAATGGAACCACATGTTCTAGTGTCAAAAATAACTTGATTGAATATAATTTACCCCAATGCAATTGTTAACACAAAAAAGTTAGAGCCTCTATGAAAGTACAAAATGAAAATTGATTTTTTTTATATTTCATGAACTGTTTCTTAACATTTTGTAATGAAAATGGTTACAGGCTTTTTATCGTAGGAGCATTTTTTTCACATAAAACCACGAAATCTGTACAGCTCATAAAAATTTTACACCTAAAACCCGTCAAACTTTTGTATGCGTTACAATTAAATTAGTATTAAGACACCATTGGTTAAATACATAATTTTTTAGACTCTTAGCCCTTTTTCAAAACGACTATTTTTATCGAGATGCTGCCTCTTTTTCATTATTTGTTAAAAATGTTGAAGTTGGCTTTTTAATACTGTAGTTTCTACGGATAAATAACAAACAGTTGCTTTAACAATTATATATTGTCAATTGAAGCTTTTGATTATTGTGCATTTTAAGAGTGTTTAGGAAAATTAAACTTTCTGTTACAATGGTTTACTACACATTTGCAGAAACGGCAGATATGCATTTAATTCTGGGTAAGTTTGGTCAGGCTAAAATTAGGTTCCACATAATTATCTGTAATTCTGGTAATCACAGATGAATCCCAAGGGAATAGTGCAGCACCTGCAAGGCGGTTATGCAAAAAAATATCCCAATCGGAATACACCAGACAGACGATTATTTCTTTCCATTGATCGTCCTTTACGGGAGACGGGTTATTTGAGACCGCAACTTGCTGGTAATAGTGGTCGTCCAAAAATGGATACAAATAATGAGGAGATTTTATAATTAGTCTTAAAAAACGCTGGAAGAAATATAAGGGTAGTAGCTGCTGAATTGGATGTTGGCCACATGATGGTTTGGAGGAAATTGAAGGAATAGCAGCTTTATCCCCCTCACTTAACAACCGCTCAAGAGTTACTAGATATAGATTATCCTAAAAAAATGGGATTTGCGACTGGTTCTTACCGAAAATCAATTAATCATAATTTGTTTACCGACGAAGCTACCTTCAATAGAAATGGCATTACGAATTATTATAACAAACACAAATGGCTGAAGAAATTCTCGCGCAAAAAAAGTTACTCATTACCAAAGCACTTCTAAAGTCAATGTTTGGGCTAATAATGCAAAAGATAATTTAAGAGACCAGTATTTCTTCAAAATACCTTAAATAGCGCAAATTCCTTAAAGTTCTTACAAAATGATTTACCAGAGTACTTGGAAGAGGTAAATTTGGGAATAGGGTAAAATATATGGTATTTACAAGATGAAGCTTCAGTGCATTTCGATAACGAAGTTAGGGAATATATTTTCGGTGTGTACCCTGGACGTTGGATTGGAAGGGGCTCTGATGTACCTATTTAATGACCAGCCAGAAATCCAAATCTTAACCCCATTAACTGTTGCTTCTAGGGTTTTATAATAGAGGACGTGTATTTTGTTGAAATAATCGAAGAACAACAAATGAGGCATCGAATTATTGAAAGTGCAAATCAATTTCGTCAGAAGCCAATGATCTTCCAAATAATTCGGTTTTCCTTCTTAACACTGTGCCAAATGCGTATTCGGGAAAGTAAAAGCCATTTTAAACATTTATTATAATAAATAATACACATTTGTACATAAAAACTGGCTTTTCAAAAAGGATGTATTAAACCAATGAAATCACAATAATAATTATAACGCATAAAACAATTTGGGGGTTTTAGGTATCATTGCAAGCTGTTAAACAGTTCATGAAATATTGGAAAAAAATCGATTTTTATTTTATACTTTCCAAAGGCTAGAAGTTTTTTTGTGTGCACATTTGCATTAGTGTAAGTTATGTCCAATTAAATCTATAGGCTGGCTCACGAACTAGGAGGTGTCTATCACCTTAGGAGGTTGCACAATAGGCCTAATGAAGCCTTAGTGCCGTGGAGGGTAACCCACCCTCCACACGTTACAGACACAGAGATACTTTTTTAAATATTGTGGTTTCTTTAGTTGACCGTAGAAAAAATATACCGCCTACGGCGTCGTATTCAAAATGCGTCCTGTTGCACACACTACTATTTATCAAGTGTCGATACATTTTTCAAATCCTAAAACACATTATAAGTTTACTCTCTCAAAAAGTACTTTTATAAATAATGCAAAAGTACATCTTTAACTTTTTTTGTACGAATACCAAGTTTTTTCCACCTCTGTTGTAAACAAATTGCACTTCTAACATTAAAGTTATATATGTAATTACATGTTTTTTGTTTAACCAAATAATACCGTAAATAGCCATTACATAAATCATATGTGGTAGTCTGATGTGGTTTTGCAAAGCGTATAGAAAGATTTCAAAGTTAGAATCGGCATTATTATTGACACGTAATTATTGACACGTAATTATTGTGATAAAGGACCCCGCCCTTTTCTAATGGCAAGTGGCGTTCCGTCAAATGTAATAAATTTTGAACATGATGTTTTACTCACATACTTTGATTTTCTTTTACTATACGGAGAATGGTCGCACTGCGCAGCTTTCTGAGTGCCTTTTAAAAGGAGATAGAAAACTCCGCCATTTTGAACCCTTATTACTTGTTGCCTACATCTTGGCGCAATATTTTTAATAGGTGCGTTTTAATCATCCGCTTCTGCTTCGGGATTGTCGGTTTTCTTGTTTTATTCTGACAAGTTAGAACGACTGAACCGACAATTCCGGAAGCAGAAGCGGATGATTAAAACGCACCTGATATTTTGCTTGCTGCTGTCAGTGTCAGTGAATATTATTTTTGGAGTCACAGTTTTTTTCTAAAGAATCAGTTAGCTCACTCGGACCAGTTGAAAGTTCCAAAATAACATCCACCCCAGGGATACAAATTCAGGATATGCAGAAGACTGCTGTTTTATTATAGGCGGTTGTCATATATTGTATTATCTGAGTTTCGCAGTGTATAAACTGGAACATTGAGATAAAAAGTGCCGACGCAGAGTGAGCGATCTGATTCTTTAGCTATAAACTGTGTCATAGGGTTCAAAATGGCCGCACCCTATGTTGGGCGTGTCGGACCTCTCTCTTGCCCCGTATAGTAATCAAAGTATGTGGTTTTACTCGACTTGTTGACCAAAAGTGTTCATGGGACCAATTCAATCCTATGAGTTTTTAAAATACAGGGTGTTAAAGTCGAGAAATCGTTATTCTTGAAACTACGTAACTTAATTAAAAAGAAAAAAAAAAATAAACATTTTTAGTTAATTGTAGCATTAATATGTCCTAGTCTAACGCAAACGTACACATAAATAGTTCAAAATGTAAACATATACAGGGTGGTACTCAGTTACATCAGGGGGAATTTTTGAAATTCTGAAAGATTCTGATATGGAATGAAAACATGGTCAAAAATAAAAACTTACATAATGTTTACTGTTCTGACATTATATAAACCCATTTGGCATTATATGTATACATATTGCGTATTACGTTTAACTAAACGAATATATTTCATATTCATTCTAGGTAGGGAGAACATTGCAAAATAGCAGTTTGTACAACAAGAGTGAATATGGACAATCCACCCAAATTATGCAGTATATTTTTTCTTCTACCCACTAACGAAAATCTGCAAATTTAAAAATTATTATAGGTTATTAAGAAAAAATAACTAATTATATTTTTTTATTAATTTTCACATAAAACTAAGAAGCGTCACGCTAAAAAACCATTGTTATTTCCAATGAATGAATCCCTTATTCATAAATTAACAATTTATCGTCCACTTTCCTGTAATTTTTTAAATCCTATTTTCTATATTAAAATAAAAATAGAATTCAAAACAGGTAGGTAATCAATATGATTTTATGGATATCCGTAATTAATCTTTATAGATTATAGTTTTAAAAGAGTATTTTTTTATTAGGTTTTAAGTGTTGTTTCAGCAAAGTAATTGATGAAAATTCTAACTGAATGCAATAGCTAAAAATTACAAGTAAAAAAATTTGTTCTTAAATGTTTTTTATTTACTAAATTGATAGTAATGTTCTGAATTATTCGTAAAAAAATTGTACCTATTTGAAATTACGTGCTAAATATTTTTTTGCTGTTTTGATAGAATAATGTGTATCCGCTAAAACTAGTAAATTAAAGCTCTAAAAAATATATTTAGAGGTTTTGCTTTTTATTTATTTAATTGATCCTAATGTACTGAATTATTCGTCGGTACGAAAAATTTTATTTTGAATTTTGTGATATATTTTGCATGGTTTGTGCTATTTTGATAAAAAATATATCCGTGGAAACGCGAACCTTTAATCAAAGTCCAAAAAACTATATTTAGAATCGTAGTTTTCTCAAGAATTTTTTGTATAGTGAAATAACAATAACTTTTTGACCTACCTAAGTACTAAAATCAACAATTTTGCCGAATAACATTACCGAAACTTTAAGGCAACACTCAATTAAACTAAATCATTTAAAAAACCTGTTTTAATAAAAAATACAGATTTTTTGCACAAATTCGTTTTTTACATAAGATTAACTAGGTACTTTGAGATTATTAGAAACATTCTCCGGATCAATTTTAATATTTCGCAACTTCTGATTTGTTAAGGCTGATATGAATAACAATGGTTAATTAAAATACTTGATATCCAATTTAACATAACAAGTTTTAAATTTTATTAAAAATTATTACATCTACTTTAGTGAAATTATATACAATTTAGTTAAAATTGATATAACTAATGTTTTAAAAATTGTTGGTTTCAGTTGCAAGAAACTAGGTTGAATTATTTTATCTTTTTTAAGATATGGAAATAATTTTGCAAACAAAACTAAAATAATAAAATAGGCATGACAAGCGTATATTATACCCTCCTGTGTCCCTTAGAATATGTCTTATTCAGGACCGCACGATATTTGTTTGTAGTTACATCTATTCTTGTTATCTTTGGTCAAATTATTATATTTTATTACTCTCCTGTAAAAACAATATTTTTATGTTATAACGTTCTTGCAGCAAATATGCATACAAGTGCCCCGCAGACAAAACCTAACCTTGTTAATATTTTTTTGTCGTTATTGATTTGTTATTTTAGGCAAAGGAGAAAGTATTTACGACTATTTTACAAAAAAGAATCCGAAAAACTTTTTTAATAACAGTAATGGAAATATCGCCTGCGATTTCTATCACAAATGGAGATCGGATGTAAAACTTCTCAAGGACCTTGGAGTGAACTTCTACAGATTTTCGATATCGTGGACTAGGATTTTACCGAATGGTTTCTCTAACAAAATCAATGGAGATGGTTTGAGATACTACAATGATCTAATCAACAATTTAATAGAAAATGGTAAGTGCAATGGACTCTGGATTATCAGCGCTAATTTAAAATATAATGAAAAATTCCTTGGAATTTTTTTAACAAATCGCAAAATTAGCCGTACTAATAATGAACATTATTTTGGTACACCCATGGGAAAAGAAATTTAAAGATAAGCTAATAGAAATCTGTTCTTGGGGAAATTCGAACCCATTTATGTATTCTACGCACACAGCTATTATCAATTAAGCCAGGAGTCTCCAAACTACGGTCCGCGGGTCAAATCCGACCAGCGACAGCTAATGGCTTATTGTTGCTGTGATAAGTTGGATAAAAAAAAACAACCATAATAGCTCTTATTTATTTACTTACTAGGTATACCTTAATGACAAGTATAATACGTAGAATATTTAACTCAAGCATAGTAATTACCAAATATTTGAACTAAATCCTACTAACATTATAGACTAGTGAACATCCCGCGGTTTTTACCCTCGATAGTTATGTTGGGGTAAAGATTATCGTATATGTATGTATATCGAAGTTTGGACTGTATATATCCTGAATCACATACATGATTTTTATCCTAAAAATCCCTCAGGAACGGAGAAGCTAAATTAACGCGAATGAAACCGCGGGGAGATTTATGTAATTGTGATTTTCCACTGGGCTAATTTTACTTGTACCAATTATTAAAAGAGATTTAAGATGCTCATCGGTTAACTTAGATCTGTAAACATTCTGTGTGTACTTAATTTTGGAGAATGTTTTTTTCACACAAGCAAGTGGTACCAAAAACATCCCATTAGCAAATTAATGCAAATTGTAAGAGTGGAAGACTTATAAAATTCCAACATAGATGAGTTTTGATATTTGATCTCAATTAAATCACTGCACTGTAAATCAATAATTTTCATTTGAAGTTCCGGGGCTAGGGGGTTTTAGTGTCAGTATTATAAGGATTTTGAAAAATCTTAATTTCATTCGCAATGACATCAAAGTCTGAGAAACGAGTATCAAAATTTAACTTTAAAGCACTAAGGGCTAGTTTTTTAATCAAAGTTTAAACTAAGTTTAATAAATAAATTGGGTTTAATTGAAAGATGGTGTTATTAACATCTAAACCTAATTTAAACAATCCAAAAAATTAAACGTTAAAGTTGGGCGTTTAAACTAAGATCAATTGACATAATATGAGTATATTTCACAATTTTTTTATGTTCGAAGTAATAAGTGAAAACGATGGTGAAATTGATGCCTATCCAATGAGTTGAAAATCCGACTTATAGATAATTAAATTCATAATAACATATATTTTCTATTCTAGAAACTCCTAAAGTCATAGTTCTGTCAACTGTACGATTTTTGCATCGAAATCTTTTTTATTTACCACTGGCTACTTTCGTAGAGTACAGCAAGCTAAATTTACCAACAATTCTTCGTTGATGCTCCAAAAATGGACGGTCCGTCAATTTGTTCCTTTTTGACAATTTTTCATTTTCACCTTTAATAAATGTAATAAATATGTTCGTAAAGAATGTCATAGATTATTCATTTTTGTCAGATCCCTCGATTCAAAACTACCCAACTAAATTAAACTTAAATCACCAGGCATTATTAATTATTGATGTTAATTTCAGTTCTATATTTGATCCAAGTTCAGGTGAACAAAAGTGTAAACTGTTATTGAAAAACTGACCCTACATTGATTACAAAATCGACGTAAAACTCAGTCTCAGTAGTGTGGCTGAATATTTTACATTTTTAAAAAATTTGTGAATTTTTTTTTAAGTAATTGTGATCAAAACAGATTATTTTCTACAGAAACGATTATTATACAGGGTGTCTGTAAAAGGTCTTTACAAAAACATACCACATATTCCTTAGACCAAAATAAGTCGATTAAAGTAAAATTACCTTAGTACAAAGTTGCTTCGTTTGGGCTCCAGAGGGCCTTGAAGTTACAATTTTTAAATGGTTTTTCCCATATAAATTTAAAACGGCATATGCGATTTTGCTGAAATTTGATATATTGGTAGAGTTTTATGTGGCAAAAAAAATGGTATTAAAATTTCGTCCGATAATAATACATAAGCGTAGAACTTGATTTTTTAAATAATTGCACTTTTAAAAATTCTACGCCAATGGAAGAAAAGGAGTTTGAGTATGAAATTTAGATTGCGCAACTCATTTACTTTAAAAAAGGTACATTTGATAAGACTCGATTACTCTCATGGTTTTCGATAAATTTCTGTTTTAATAATTTAGAGTGTATAGGTTTCACAAAAATATTTATTTACAACATAATCAAAATAGAGATTTTACAAAAATTGTTCAAAATGTTCACCATTTTCACGCATACAAAGATTTATACGTCGAAGAAAATTAAAATGTATCCTTTCCATAACTTCTTCATCACCTCTAAGATTGTTTATTGCATCTTGAATACGTTGCCAGAGTTGTTCCTCATTTTCTACAGGTTCCCTGTAAACTGTGGATTTCAGATGTCCCCATAAAAAGTAATCCATCGGTGTTAGGTCTGGGGAACGTGGTGGCCAGTTTACAGGTGCGTTATTATCTCTGCCTATCCATTTGTGTGGATACAGTTCATTCAAGTGGTTTCTAACATTTAAAGAAAAATGTGGTGGAGCTCCATCTTGCATAAACCACATATCTCTCCGAAGTTGGAGAGGTAAACCTTCTAACAATTCTGGCAACGTATTTTGTAGAAAATCCAAATAATTTTCTCCAGTTAATCTTCGTGGAAGTATGACAGGACCAACAATGAAATTACCAATTATTCCAGCCCACACATTAATTTTGAATTCGTGCTGAAAATGGTTTACCTTTATTGCATGCGGATTTTCAACGGCATAAACATGTTCATTATGGGTATTAGTTATACCTCTTCTTGTAAAACCCGCTTAATCGGTAAAGAGAACCTTCTTGACAAAGTTTGGATCTCTTTCTCTTTGCATAATAACAAATCGACAAAAACCCAAACGAATTTGAGGATCATGGACTATAATTCTTGTACTGGCTTCTTATGGTATGGATATAGCAATTGTTCTCTTAGCACTTCATGAACGACATCTTTACTTACTCCTAGTTCCCTTCCAATTCGTCTGGTGCTTAATTCTGGATCTTCTTCAACACGTTCTAAAATGCCTTCTTCAACTTCAGGAATCCTTACAAAACGTTCTCTTCCATTATCAACAGTGTTGGGAGCAAAGGAACCGGTCTCCCGAAGACGTCTCTCAACAGCAGCAAAAGTTCCACCCAACTTACACGACGATTTGGAAACCTTTCAGAGTATACCCTGACACTCTCTCGAGAATTTCCTTCACAAAATCCTAATGTCAGTCACATATCGGTATATTCTGCATTGGTATATGCCATATTAATAAACCACGCATTTGTTTTTTTTAATTATTGAGTCAGATAGAACACTTTTAATCGTTAACAAGAGATTAGGTGTTAAAACTTGACAATATCTTTATTTAGAAGAAACTATGGAAACCAACAATAAATGTTTTTGTATACGTATTGCAGGCAAATAATTAATATTCCTCAAAACATCGTACATGGCAAGAATCGAGTATTTTTGTTTAAAGTCTCAATTAGAGGTGTTGAAGAAGATATGAAAAAAGTACATTTTTAGGTTTTTCATCGTATAAAATTTTGTCCGATAATACATAGGCGTAAAACTTGTTTTTTTAAATAATTGCACCTTTAAAAATTCTACGCCAAGGGCAAAAAAGGGGTTTGAGTATGACATTTGGATTGGGTACTCATTTACTACAAAAAAGTACCCCTGATAACACTTGATTTACTCTCATGGTTTTGACAAAGTTTGTATTTTAATAATTATTGTTTATGTTCTAAAATTACTAAAATGCAAATTTCGTCAAAACCATAAGAGTAATCGAGTCTTATCAGGAGTACCTTTTTTAAAGTAAATGAGTTGCGCAATCTAAATTTCATACTCAAATTCCTTTTATTCCATTGGCGTATAATTGTTAAAGGTGCAATTATTTAAAAAATCAAGTTCTACGCCTATGTATTATTATCATACAAAATTTTAATACAATTTTTTATGCCACATAAAACTCTACCAATACACCAAATTTCAGCAAAATCGCATATGCCGTTTTAAATTTATATGGGAAAAACGATTTAAAAATTGTAACTTCATGGCCCTCTGGAGCCCAAACGAAGCAACTTTGTACAAAGGTAATTTTACTTAAATCGACTTATTTTGGTCTAAGGAATATGTGGTATGTTTTTGTAAAGACCTTTTATAAATCATGGAGAAGTTAGTGTTCCCTTTGGAATCTCAAATTCAGTGCGTTCATATTTTTTGTAATTCGGTAAGAGGGCGATGCTTTTCATTTAAAAAATTTCGGTCATTACTCGAAGTGCAAAAAAGCGCTGAAGGACTTTTACGCAACGTACGGCAGTATGATATGGTAAGTCATTTTCTCCCATCTTTTCAATAAACTCGCGAAATTGTCGGTGATTCAGCCCAGTAGATCTGATGAAATTAACAACTGATATGACTGGCTTTAGAAATTCATACCTAATATCCAAACATTTTCCGCACAAGGACTGTTGATGAATGATACAATGTTAGATTAATGGTTTTGAACCACCATCATTTTTTACGGCCTTTGACACAAATGCAACTACTCCTTTATTTTTACCATACATGTTTTTGTCTTCATTGGTTGTAATAGATTTCAATTTTTTCCATCGAAGAATATTTTTATTATTGGCATTTTCAACTCCCTTAACAATATCTTCCCTAGTAGTCGTGCCATGAATACTATCAATATCAAGAAGTTATTTATACAATTCATAGCTTTGGTCTACTACTCAAATAAAAATCAATACCTAATCGGTATCTTACACATCCGTTGATTCATCCAAGGCCAGAGAAAACCACTTAAGATGTCTATTTTTGTCAAACAGTTGAGACGGTGTTTGCTGACAAACTGACAGTTTTAAATAAATTTACCTTTTCGGGACACATTTCTTCGGCTACTGCAATTACGAATTTGTTGACCATTTCTCCATCAATGAATGGTTTTCCACGTTTTGCGATTTCAAGATCCACGAAAAAGCTGGCACGAGTTGCAGCTTCTTGTTCAATATTGACTTTCGTAAACAAAGATTGCTGCGATTTTAATCCACGCTTCAAAGATTTAAATTTTCTGTCCGCGTGCCGTACTTCCAGTATATTTTAGGTTATTTTAAAAATTATTTGTTTAATAATGACGCTTTAAATTGTCTGTCCGCGTACTTCCAGTATATTTTAGGTAATTTTAAAAATTATTTGTTTAATAATGACGTTTAATGTTATATTCTTTATGAACGGCTATGGTTTTATTGCAAATCAAACAGCGCCTTATTACTGGACTCAATTGCGAAATATTTTTGGCTTTGTTTTCATACTAGTAAATCACATACTAAAACAAGTCAAATCAAAATTCTGTTATGTAAGGGCGTTGGTCGGTTCGAAGATGTCTTTTAAACGCACTTACGCAATACTTTATTTCACAACAGACAGTTTCGCTTCCATCGCCTTCCTTAGACAGACTGACTCTCGGTCGCACTCTAGCCTTTTTCTACTCCAACTACTGCTATCTCGAAGTGAGTGAAATACACCAGAACTTTTTCAAACAACTGTGGTTATTTACGAATGTTTAACCCTTTCGACATGAAATTTTAAAAAGCAAAACTGTTGACGATTGATAAAAATCTTTTAAATTTCATCAGATCTACTGGGCTGAATCACCGACAATTTCGCGAGTTTATTGAAAAGATGGGAGAAAATGACTTATCATATCATACTGCCGTACGTTGCGTAAAAGTCCTTCAGCGCTTTTTTGCACTTCGAGTAATGACCGAAATTTTTTAAATGAAAAGCATCGCCCTCTTACCGAATTACAAAAAATATGAACGCACTGAATTTGAGATTCCAAAGGGAACACTAACTTCTCCATGATTTATAAAAGGTCTTTACAAAAACATACCACATATTCCTTAGACCAAAATAAGTCGATTTAAGTAAAATTACCTTAGTACAAAGTTGCTTCGTTTGGGCTCCAGAGGGCCTTGAAGTTACAATTTTTAAATCGTTTTTCCCATATAAATTTAAAACGGCATATGCGATTTTGCTGAAATTTGGTTTATTGGTAGAGTTTTATGTGGCATAAAAAATGGTATTAAAATTTTGTCCGATAATAATACATAGGCGTAGAACTTGATTTTTTAAATAATTGCACCTTTAACAATTCTACGCCAATGGAATAAAAGGAGTTTGAGTATGAAATTTAGATTGCGCAACTCATTTACTTTAAAAAAGGTACTCCTGATAAGACTCGATTACTCTTATGGTTTTGACGAAATTTGCATTTTAGTAATTTTAGAACATAAACAATAATTATTAAAATACAAACTTTGTCAAAACCATGAGAGTAAATCAAGTGTTATCAGGGGTACTTTTTTGTAGTAAATGAGTACCCAATCCAAATTTCATACTCAAACCCCTTTTTTGCCCTTGGCGTAGAATTTTTAAAGGTGCAATTATTTAAAAAAACAAGTTTTACGCCTATGTATTATTATCGGACAAAATTTTATACGATGAAAAACCTAAAAATGTACTTTTTTCATATCTTCTTCAACACCTCTAATTGAGACTTTAAACAAAAATACTCGATTCTTGCCATGTACGATGTTTTGAGGAATATTAATTATTTGCCTGCAATACGTATACAAAAACATTTATTGTTGGTTTCCATAGTTTCTTCTAAATACAGATATTGTCAAGTTTTAACACCTAATCTCTTGTTAACGATTAAAAGTGTTCTATCTGACTCAATAATTAAAAAAAACAAATGCGTGGTTTATTAATATGGCATATACCAATGCAGAATATACCGATATGTTACTGACATTAGGATTTTGTGAAGGAAATTCTCGAGAGAGTGTCAGGGTATACTCTGAAAGGTTTCCAAATCGTCGTGTTAGTTGGGTGGAACTTTTGCTGCTGTTGAGAGACGTCTTCGGGAGACTGGTTCCTTTGCTCCCAACACTGTTGATAATGGAAGAGAACGTTTTGTAAGGATTCCTGAAGTTGAAGAAGGCAAAAGCAAAACTGTTGACGATTGATAAAAATTTAAAAGATTTTTTAGTTCCATTTGTCAAAATTGAGATTTCTTAGTTACGTTATGTACACTGCAGTGTACGTGGTGACTAAGAGACGTATATAAATTTAAAAAAATCTATAAAGGAGAGTTTAATGGACAGAAACCTGTATATTACATAATATTTCAAAAATTTCTTTTATCCAACAGATTTTTTTTTCTGTCAAATTTTCTGTCACATTACAAGTGACTATTTGCAATGTTTTGTAGTAGGAATTTTTAGCCTTGATACATTTTAAATGCCATGTATCAGTCAGTTCAATAAGCGGCACTTCCTCTGGTTCTTCAGAAGTATCAGCTGCCAATTAATACTTCATTATCATATAAAAATAAAAACAAAATTATTACGTATTTATTCCTAAATTAGCAAAAATACTGTCCACTTATATTTGATCTTCATAGTAAACATTCTTTTATATGTCAAGTTCATCTAACTTGAAATTTTTTTTTTTTTATTTGGTGTACGGCTTCAACATCTAAGGTCATTAGCCTAGTGTTCTATGTAGGTTATGGATTGTATTAGTAGTCTAATACTCCATAGTGCAGGAGTATTAGTACTCTAATACTCCTACACCCCTACAGACAGGCCTTGTTACTGTTTCCTTGCGCCACTTTAGGAACAGCACTGTTAATTAGAACCCAACAGTGAATAGTCGAGTGGGGAATCCTACCAAGGCATCAGAATTAATTTTAAATATTTAAATTAAATAAAAAAATCCCGGCCAACGGTGGGATTCGAACCTGGGACCCTTGGATCCACAGGCAGAGACTCTACCACTGAGCCACCCACCCCCTCTAACTTGAAATTATTTCTATTAAGAATGTTAGATAAATTCTTTTCATTTAACGGTTTGTTTTACAATACCGCCTATCAGTCATGACTGTCATAATGTTCACTATAGTGTACAGGGTTTTTCATTATATTTTGACCACTCCGTATTTTCATAATTCTTGTAAACTCAAAAAAAGTTTCAAGTAAAAGCTTTGTTGTTTTACCTCAACTTTTTCGACCACAGTAAAACCCATTACAAGCAATCAATTGACAACTTTTAATAAACAAACAACTGTTTCACTTAAAAACATGATTTTCATAGCTATCTATGTGTTATGCTTTCATAGTGCAATAAGTCATTATATAATTAAAATATTATATATTTGTTACCAGGAAACGCAAGTCTACTTAAAATGGCAAAAATATATAGGGTGTCCCATTAAAAAAATTAAATTATATTTTGTTGGAGTCGTCCTGTATATACAATTCAGCCTGTTATTACATTTTTAGTCGGTACAGATAGAACAACATAGATTTTATTTAAAACTTTTTTTTTGGTTTGCAATAATAACGAAAATAAATAGCGGTCAAATTATAATGAAAAACCCTGTACATAGTTGTAAACCTTCATACTATCAGCAGTTTACGACTTTTCCAAGATACCAAAAATTCAATACTTACCTCAAATCGTAATCCACCAACAAAAAAATATAGCAACCAGATAAACAAACAATAAACTTAAGTTACACTGAAAACAATTTAAAGGTTATACACATAATATATGAAAACATATCGTCGGCCTAATTTTAAATCCCTGTAACTCAAATTTGCATAATTTTACAGGGGAGCGAAAAAACCGCTCCTTACAAAATTTAAGTCAAATCGTCAGACACTATACCTTAAAATAAATTTATTAATGTTCAAAAAAACTTTAAATTAATAGGTTTTGCAAAAATTTTGAAAAATGTTTTTAATAAAGGACTTACGAGGTTTTAGAATACAAAATGCTAAATTTCTTAGACATACGAGTTTTTAATAGAAATGAATCTTAAAACAGGTTACATACACTTACACTATAAACTAATGAAAAATATAATTAAAATAATATATTTTTTCTAAAATGTTAACAAAAGAAAAGGTTTTCAAAATGGTACAAATTATGTGTCTTTATGTGGAAGCTGGTCATAAAAAAAATGATAATCTTGGTCAAGAACACCCTTTAATTTCTGCAAATTATCAAATTTTTTTCTATCTATTTTTAAAGGCTCTTTATAAAGATTAGGCATATTAACATTTACTGAGCATTCTTTATCCTTTCTCCTTTTAGGCAATACTGTCCATTCGTCACTATAATTAAGCTTATATTCGATTATTCCAGATGTATTATATTTTAGACAACTAATATCGGTAACCACGGGGTCACCTTTTTTAAACCCAGGTCGTATGGTAGTGTAAAAAGAAAGATCAGACATCTTTTTAAAAAAATCATAACTAAGATAATTCACATTATAGGGTCTGGGTTTATTTCTAGCAGATTTACAAATAGAAACATACCCAGCTGGAGTGTAAATATCCGTATTGCGAAGTTTTCGTTCAATAACTGAGTGCATGGAGGCACACTCCATCTGAGTATGTCCTTTTTCTAAGTAGTTTTGAATAATCGTAATTTTCTTTTTCATACTGCAGAACAAAAGGGTGTTACTTATAATCGCATTGCGGTTTTGGTAAGTACAACCGTCGCTATAAAATGTCACTTCATCTCCGTCCTCAGTATGAAGATCGAAAATAAAAGAGTGAAGAATGGAAGCGAACTCATTTGCAGTCAAACCACCTTGACATTCGTGCCACAAATAGCAGTGGCCATCGAGATTCTTTAAATTGAAAATCGTGAAGTTATGCACCACAAGCTTACTTTTATAATACATTGCTGATGCCTTAGTTAATGGAGCTATGAGTACACTTTGCAAATCCATAGTAAACACCCATTTTTTTTCTTCCTTATCTTGGTTTTTGGTATTTCGAGCAGCATCCTTTCGTTTCATATGTGCATTAAAAACTATTTCATCGATGTTACCAATTTTAAAACCA